TTTCTCCCTTGTTAAATTATCACTCACTGTTGTTTCCAAGAAAGTAAAAAGTGTTAGTGACTGTGGAGTAAAGAAGCAGAAGGGTATTTATTATAGTAGAAACAAAGCCTGAAATTACAACTAAACAGGAGAATAATGTTTGTGTGTCTGATCTTGCCAAACTGTAGGGCATGGCTAAATCTATGTTCCATACTTTCTCTAAGAAGACAGTTATGCTAAAGACAGCTGATGTGGCTAAAGGAGTAACTAGTTAATGAAGAAAAGGTCTCAAGTGTTAGAAAAAGTAGAAAATATGAGGATATGATGTGTGTGTGTGTGTGCGCGCACGTGTGTGTGTGTGTATATATATATATATATATATATATATATATATACATTCAATCACGACAATTTGCTCACATTTTCATAAGCAAAAGGTATTATCTTGCAGACACTAATGCAGATGAGTCAAATGACAGACCTTCAAATATGCTGCGATGCCATTTCTGTATTTAGGCCTTTCTTTCTTTTTTCTTCGGACTGGAGAAAACACACAAACACACAAACTGCATTCACATACAGAGTGACTAACCATAGTTAAGAGCTTCTGGAGCAGTCCATTTGACTGGGATCTGCTTCATCCCTGTGGAAACTGTGTACTCTTGTTCCTCCCTTGACATCCCAAAGTCAGAGATCTTAATGATGTTATTCTCGCCCACCAGACAATTTCTTGCTGCAAGATCTCTGTAGAGAAACAGAAACAGAAAGTTGGCATTCAGGTTGATTCTGTTTCCACAGATCTGTGCTCTCTCTCTCACCAGACAGAGAAACAAATATGTTGTCTTTTCTGATTGGGGGGGGGGGGGGTGGGGGGTGGAGGGGGTGGAGGCGTATCCAGAAAAAACATGATATATCACAGACATGTGTGAACACAGGCAGGACACACAAAAACTACATCATATTTTCCATGAAGTCCTGGATACAGCCAAGGGCCACAGATGAAAAGAAGGAAGTCTGGAATAGCACAAACAAAGGATAAACAAATTTGGAGAGTTGGTCTAAGCATCTGAGCAAACATCAGACTTGTGTCAGCTTCTAGTCACATTGGACCAGGAGTACAGGGAATGACTAGTAGGCACAGCAGATTAGAAATGCAAACACTGATTCGTATTTGTTTCCATCCAGGAGATGTGATTATTTATACAGATGACTCTGTGTTGAGAGGCAAGCGGAAAGCATTGGAGTTCATTGCAAAAATGAACTGACGACACTTAGCTGTGACTGCCCCCACCTCCATTCTCAAACTGTATGTTGTAGTATCATATGCTAGGTTTTGTTAACCTAGCATATGATACTACAACATACAGTTTGAGAATGGAGGTGGGGGCAGTCACAGCAGCTTTCCAATAGCTTGAGAACCAGCTGTACATACATGTCATGATTGTAACTGACTCACAAAGCATGCTAAACTTTTTTCTTCAGGAAATGCAGGTGTGTTGGGAAATTAACAGTAGGACAGGCTGACTGATTCTGCACCACTGGCTCATGAACTGATGCACAACGAGCAAGATGTCATCAGTGCAAGTGATCAATGTAGATGTACAATAGATTATTATGGTCTGGAGAGAATGATGCAACTAGCAGTGATCAAGGTCTCTGATTGAACACCACACTCAGAGGAAAGGCAAGGACATATAATTTAACTGCACCTGGCATAACTGGAACTCTTTGCTGGTTGCTGAACATGAGGACAGAGCGCTTATGGGTACGCCTTGAGTGCTGTTATGCCCGTTCCTATTTCAAGAAGTAGGAAATAATGACATCACAAAGACATTTTGGGTTCAGATCTAAGGTTGTCGTGACTTTGTGAGAGTTCAGCGTTACAGTTAACAAAAGAACATCAACATCACTAAAACACAGTTACAAAGATGTGACAGTAAGACAAAGCTATACAATGACTACATACCTATGTATACAGCCCCTGCCCTCTAGGTACTCCATGCCGCTGGCTGCATCCACACACATTTGTAGCAACTGCTTCGTCGACTGTGACAGGCCTTGAGTTTTCAAAAATGACAGCAAAGCTCCCTCTGAAAAATTTGTAAGGGTTTAATTTAAGGTATTAAAAAAAAAATCACACAGAAAAATTATTGATATAACAGCAGGGGTAAAATATACCGATAAAATATAATTAAATCCATTCTTTGCTTTTTTTTTAAAGCAAATGAAAGGTAAAGATAGTCCTGTAGCAGATACCACCTTCAGGGTGTGAACTGTTAGGCCTCCACACATTCTAGGCCACAATATAACAGTTCGGGGGTGGTCAGTTCTCTTCCTCCTCACTTTCTGTCCTGATAATTGAGAAAGTTATCTAGAACCACCGACTCAGCAGTTAAGTAAAGCTCATAAAGCAAATAAAGAACAATGCAGTAGGAATACAAAAGATGGAAGAAAATAGACTAAACATTATGCATTGCTATAATATAAATCAATTTTTTTTAACAACAGACTGAGCTATCCTTCTTATTTCTTTATTTTTCACAATTTAAAAAAAAAATACATATATAAACCTAGATGTTTCCAGTACAATATTTTGTTGTTGCTGTTATGTTGTTATCCATACAATGTCGCATGAGCTTTCACCCTTTGGCCTAATGCCATATAGTGGAATTTACATGTTTTCTCAAGCAGTTGTTTTCCTCCATACAAAGTGTTCCACTTGTCTGGTCTCAGAGGGAGGAGCATTCTTCTAGTCTAGCTGAGTTTTGGGCTAACAAAAAGATTATGGTCAACAGTTTTGTAGGGGTAGTTACATAGCTGGCACTCTGGGGAGTGAACAATATTTTGCATAGCTTGTCTCTTACTGTTTTTAACCTTTAAATATAACAAACTGTACATGTATGATTACACTTTATTATGCTCAACACCATGAATTATAATAAAACTGATCGTGTATGAGTGTGGTATGTTTCTCACTTTAAAATATAACTAAACAACTCACTAACAAACATTACAACAACATACTTGGGATAAATTCCATGACAATCATAACAGGCTGCTTCTGTGCTGCTATTCCAATGTATCTGACAATGTTTGGGTGGTTGTACTGTTTCAAGATGCGTCCTTCCTGAAGAAACTTGATTTTCTGATCTTCAGTCAGTGTATCTTTACAGGTCTTGACCGCCACTTCCAGAGCTTTTCTGTAGAGGCCTTTATACACTTCACCAAAATTACCCTGCAGTACACAGAGTAACAGGAAATATAATGTACTGCACACTTTTACAGAAGTCGGACTTATTCTCTACCATTATATTATTCTACAGTTTTACTAAGCTTAAATAAGTTAAGAACAAATACCATAGCACTCAAGACATTCCCATAAGCACTCGGTCCTGATCTTCAGCAGCCAGCCTAGAATATTTTACTAAGACCTGATTTAGTCACTAACAATTATTATTTTTAATTTCACTAAAGCATTACTTAACCCTTTGGGGACCACTCACCAGATCTATTGGCCAAACAGCAAAATAGCCAAAAAGATCATTGGGCCGATCCGTCAGCCCGAAAATACAAGCTGAAATTAGTTGGAAGGTTTTTGTACCAGCCTGTCAGATTGCTTTTCCCAATTTCTTGCCCATGTGGGCTGTTCAAGACAATTTGCTGTGTTCAGTAATTTTTACATCATTGTTTTTTTTTGGGTCGGGTTGGGGGGGGGGGGGGGGGGGGGTAACAATGTAATGTCTAAGGCTTTGACTATTTATGTGTTAAGAAAACAGAGTTGAGTCAAGAATTGACGTCACAGCACTCGACTGCTGCTCTTTGGTGCTGAACTCTACAGAATGCTTTCACATTTAGTGCCTGGACATCTGGCTTCATGCTAAACACTAGCAACTGTGGAGGTTTTTGGATAATTTCTTCTAAAAGTAAGTAAAGTACCCTCTCTATGCCTTTAGTTCCCAGGACCTTAACGGAGTACTCATTTTAGGCCAGGTAAATCTGGGGCCCAAGGATTTGTGTGTGTGTGCATGTGCGAAAGAGAGAAAGAGACAGAGAGATAGAGAGAGAGAATCTATCTTGATACAGATTGAAAACAGCAACTTCTGGCCTGAGGTAAGCATCTAGCCGCTATATCTAAAAGTAAATGAGCCTATTTTAGGCTATGAGGCATTTCTGTAGATAGTGCTAGCCACACATACTAATATTGAATGGCACTCGATGACCATATCTAAGTTACCACTATCCCCCATATGGGAGGCAATTTTTAGTCATACTGAAGCCCCACCCTGGCTTTGCCAGGGGCCCTAAATATAGCCGACCTTAAATATGGCCCTACGGCTGAACAGGATTTCCATGACCTCTCCAAGGGCAATCCTCATCCGCATGGTGGCACTTTGAGTCACTGGGTGTTAATCGTTTGTGTGATGTCCTGGTGGGGTACAACTTATCTATCTATGACCACATCAGATCAATATCATTCCAGCTACCTGAACATCTAGTTACATATAAATTAAATATCCATGAAACAGAATTGTCTACTGTTGATTACAAAAGCTCACATGTTATACAAAACATAAATATGCATAAATTCAAAATTAATTACATGTGATTTACCAGAATCTGTAAGTTGAGCCAAGAAGAGATTTCATGCAGCCCAATATGCGTGCCATAAAAGGTGACTAAGAATGGTTTACTTGTACAAAACCTTAGCTGCAAAGTTCAACATTAACTGTAAAAAAGTCTACAAATGGTTTGGTATGAATTGTCTGAGGGCATATGCTCCATTGGGAGCTGAAATTCAGAAAAAGAGAAAGACAGCAATGACCGTTTGGCGTGCCATAGTCAGTTTCTCAGCATGTCTGCCAACCTGTCATGCATAAAGGTGTCACCTGCTGCACTGCTGGAAACCAATGAAGTACCCAAACTTCAAAGCTGTCCATTTAATGAAAATGGTATTTGTAAATATGTTTCTCAATCTGAGATTCAAAATGAATGATGAAATATCAAGTCAGGTACAAACTTACAGTTCCAATCTTCATTTTCAACTCAATATCATCATTAAGTAACTCCCACTCTCGCAGGATAGGTTTCTTCAAGATAGCCCCAGATTTGGTTGTGACTGGTCGTCTGGACTCATACTGCTTTCTAACCAGCTCTTGAATTGTGGGATAAGCATCACCTTCAAAGTGCCAGCCTCGGTCCTGCAAATAAGACAGTTCAATTGCCAGGTAACAAACACTTAATAACTAAGACAGTTCAATTGCCAGGTAACAAACACTTAATAACTAAGACAGTTCAATTGCCAGGTAACAAACACTTAATAACTAAGACAGTTCAATTGCCAGGTAACAAACACTTAATAACTAAGACAGTTCAATTGCCAGGTAACAAACACTTAATAACTAAGACAGTTCAATTGCCAGGTAACAAACACTTAATAACTAAGACAGTTCAATTGCCAGGTAACAAACACTTAATCACCTTCTCAGAAGATGTTTGTAATTCTCTGGCCCCAGTATTTTATCTTACATCCATTTTTACTTATGGTTTATTGTTGACAGGTGTCTGTTTTCACCACTCAATCACATACAAACAACTTCCAAGGATGTATATTTTTATTCTTTGAATTACTCGTATTCATTTTTACAATAAAGGAAATATTTCCCAAACATGATAAGTATTTGCTTGCCACACCAAAACCTGGTTACTACATGCTAAAATATTACACACTGCCTCACCTGAAACTGTTCTCCAAATTAAGTAAAACACAGGAATTTCTGGCTCAATCAAACGTAGTGAAAAACAAGATATCAAAGAAGACAGAAAAATATAAAATTTTCCTAACATAAGAAAGCCATAGATCTAAATAGTGTCTGACCAGAGGGACCTCACATATGATGCAGGGGACACTGAAGCTCAGGTCTTAAAATATAAAGCATAAAACACAACATAACAAGTTATCAGAGTACAAAGACCAATATAAGAAAAGACAGACATAAACACAAATGAACATTATGACTTGAACTGTTATTGTCATTATTATTTTTGTGATGTCTGCACAGGTAAAAAAAAAATATGATCAAAATGTTGACTTGTGTCTGTATGTAACTTCTGTTCCCTTCACTGAGCTTTTTAATCACAGCCTGTATTCACTTAGTCTTCATATCAGCTCATCAGCAGTTGGTACTTATTCCTGATACTGACATGTTAAACAAAAGTAACAAACACAGAAATTGTATTTTTGTGTGTGTAGAAATGTGCTTCAAACTATAGGCGATAGCTATTACATTATGTGAAGATACTGCCAACATACATGATATTAAACTCTTGCAAAACTATGCTCAAATATATTCTTAAAGCTATCACTGTGTAATAATAACCACTTCACACAAGATATATATATAGCCCCTCCCCCCCCCCCCCCCCAAAAAAAAAAAAAAAAACATATATTATATATATGACTTGATAACGGCAACATAGAAGACTATTGTCTTGCCTACCAATGTGCCTAACTGTAGGTATAGTGCAAAACAAGATCAATCAAGCAGCCTGTGTATAAAATGAGGTATAAAATCAGTTAGAATTGACATTCAGAAAAAGGCAATAGTGCAAATATGAGCTGATGGATCAAGTGACAATCACATGAAGCTAAAATAATACTACCAGATCATTCCCGACAGCAGAGCGATTTTATCAATTCAAAACATCAACGATACAAAATGCTGATGCGTGCGGCTTTCAGAATATGATACACCTGTGTCATTAATCAGACAGACTTATTATAAAAAGACATTCACAGCATGTAAACAATATGCTTAGATGATTCAACAAAGCCCTGATAGTTGAATAAATGACCATTTCTATAACAATCACGTCAGAGGCATCATTTACTTACAGACATTTGATATCTAAGGATGTGTTTGCAGAAAAAGGGTCAAGTACAGGAACCCATCCATGCCATGAGATGTGGTGCAAAAATACTAGATTTTGTTACCAATTAGCACTTGATGGATGATAAGGCCAATACTGTGCATCAACCTTGATAATAACTCTTATTTCTGACAGACAGGAAACAAACTTGCAATAGCCTACTTAACAGTATGATCTGCATCTGCACAGTGAAGCAGTAACTTGTGATTTTCAACCTAAAACCACCAATTCTAAACAGGATTGCATGCATCAGAAACAAGATACCAATAATATATGCTCCATGACAGGATTATCTGGGTATATCCAGTTAAGAGAATAGAAAATCATTGTATTGTTTCTGTGCACTCTATGGGTGCTCCCTAGTTTCATGATGGCTTTATCTACATCTCAGAAGTGTATTTTCTGATGATGCAAAATAGTTCTTAGCCAGTAATGCTCTGTTTCCATAATTCATGGACTAGCTGCAAAAATGCTGCAAAATCCATCACAGTAGTCATGTGTCCTGATAAGACACATGACTACTGTGATGGATATGTCCAAGTTAGTTGTATATCCAACATTATCCACACCATGTGCACAGAAAATGTGTCCAGCTTTACCAATTAGAAAGGTCAGGTACTGTAAATATGAAACTCATGTGAGGCTGACAATAAGGAAGACTGACCATCCAAGGAAAATCCCAGAAGTATCATCATTATTTTGACAGTAACTAATGTCCGCGGGTCAAGCCTGGCCTGTCAAGCAATTTTTACTGGTTTGTAATTCTAAATTTGGTACACAGACCAAGTAGAGGCTGCCCACTCCTGGTGTTCAGAATGCAAACATAATTTTAGGTTGTCGTAGGTAAAAGAAGTTTTATCCTGTCATTGTGAAAGACAAGCGAGGTTGAAGGCAGACAATGTAAGGAGAGATACATAAGAGTATGGACAGAGGGGAGAGGAAGAGATAGAGGTTTCAGGAGAGATAAATCCTTACTGGGGCAAACTGTATGATGAAGTGTCGATATCCCTGCCAGTAGACACTAAGAACAAACTGGGTTTCATTGGTCTTTTTGTTCTTGGATTCTCTGACTAGATAGTCACCATCATTGACTAGAAGTCGCTGGACCTCCTCTCTCGGCAACACACCATGAAACCATTCCTCGTCTGCAATTCGAGTTTTTGCTTCTGCAGCATCCAGATCCTAGAAAAAAGACATGATTCATGATACCTGGACAGTCTTCACAAAAATGCTCAACAACTGGGAAGAAAAGAATGTCAAGTGTAAAAAATATTCAATTTAATTAACCATGTTACCAAGACCTAAAGCAGGTGGCAATGAACTGCTAAACATAGAGAGCTTTGACTTCTGAACTATGCGCCACCCTAGGCTCAAGAGGAAAAACTAACTAACTAGCTAATTACCAAAATACTGTTTTTTAAATGATTTTTAAAACAGAATTTGATCAGAAATTCACTCTGGGTATGTTGTAGATAAGGGACAAGATTTGTAACTGTCAAAGTCACATTCGACAATGCTCTCTGGCCTAAGCTTCTTCCAAGCAGAAGTTAGGGTTCTCTTGGTAACCCCTTCCGACGCCTTGTCGATCATCTTGAGGCAGGCAATGATGTGGAAGTGATTTTTCCAAAACTCTCTGAGAGTGAGGTTGGTCCCTTCAGTCACCTGAAAACAATGCTTTAGTGTAGAGCTTCTTAAAGTTAGAAATAACTTGCTGGTCCATTGGCTGGAGTAACGGAGTGGTGTTGGGAGGCAGAAACTGGATCTTGATTAACTTAAATTCTTCAGGTATGTCATCTTGTAGGCCTGGAGGATTCATGTACATATATCACAATATAAGTTTGAGAAAATGTGTGACCACAAGCAACACTACGATGCTACTGGAATGAGTGCTAAACACAGACTGATGTAACATCCGCACAATCCTCGCCACTCGCTATGCGAAATGTCGCCCGTAAACCAAGTCATTCTTTTACAATTTGTTTTGCTCATTATGCGAATTATTCGTTATAAGAGGTGCTCGTTTAGTGAGGCTCTACTGTATGTTCCTTAACTGTTTACTTACTTATGTTCCTCAACTGTTCACTTATCTAAGCTTAGCAACTGTTCATTTAATCTATGCTCATTAACTGTTCACTTAATGTACGCTAATCAACTGTTTACTCAACCTGTCCTCATCAACTCTTTACTTAATCTATGCTCATCAACTGTTCACTTTATATACCCTCATCAACTGTTCACTTTATGCTCATCAAGTGATTATTTAATCTAGCTGTTTAACTGTATGTAAATTTATGGTGTTCACTTATGGATTACCATCTGCTACATACATATGCATCTGCATTTCCATAATCACTCGATTGCCTCTTGCTCTGTTTACAAAACTAACTTTCAGTTTTATTTGAATATTTGTTTCTAAAGTGATGCTTAGGTCTGTGTTTGTAAATGTTCACTTAAGTCAGCCAAACGTGATAAATGAAGTGGAAGCCACAGAGATTAGGTTTCACAGATGAATGATGAGAATACTCTGTAACAAGAACATTAAAAAGTGCCTCTATATGCCAGTGGCGTATCGGGCATATGATGCTAGACTCATATTTGTATAGACCAACTGGCTATTGATGTGTTATATGGTCAATATCACACTGGCTGCCTTTACTTCATAGACTTTTACCTAGTATTCATTTAAGGCTGGGTCGACCTGGTAGCCAAGAACTTGAACACATGACCTTTGGATACACAGGCGGGTGTCTAGCCACCATACCACACAGGCTCCCAAGAATACAATGAACAGATAAAGAGAGTAATGAAGATGTCCTTAAAGAAATTACTGCATGATTACCAACATAAGAAGGGGATGATCTACATTGACATCATGAGAAGATGAAAACTAGAGTACACTGTCACAGCTGGAGAGTTGGTGGGGAAAAGAAGGATGAGCCACCAAGAGAAAAGATTCTGGACAGTCGGAGATCATGGCAAGGAAGATCATCTGTGTTTGGATTAACTGCAAGTTTAAGATACATCCCCTGGTGAATACAGAATAACTCAACAGAGACAGCAGCTAATTGTGTGTCAAATAAAAGGACAGCTAGAAGTAATATAACTGTGCCTATAATGAATATAAGATTCCTTACCACCATGTGACCTTGTTCCCTCATTTTCAACATTGACAGTCTTGAATCTGGTCCATTTGAATTGTTCAAAAAATGTTCTGATCTGAAGACAGATTTACAATGTACTTGAATAATCAAGCAATACTATTTTGCATAACTGTATTCTAACTCATGAAATACACCTATAATAATACATAATTTATATCAACTAGGTTATATAACTATAAGAATGAGGAAGACATTTGTGACTAACACATAAGCAGTATGTGTTGAGAATTCAAATATTTCACAAATCTGAATATTTTACATGTTCTGTTGCCCACTTTCTGTGTCATTTAAATACTGTACTTGTAAAAGTTCAGGTCCACGTCATTTCCTCAGCTGATCATATAACATGTAAAAGGAACATTTTTAGTTATCTAGCCACTACTAATATAAAGCAATAGCTAGATGCTTCCTGTTTCCTGTTTGGGCTCCAGAGCCCCAGTCAGGAGGGGGAAAGGGGGGGGGGGGGGGGGGGGAATTGGCTCACTGCCCCTCCTCCTAAATAAAACACCCTAGCTCCAGATCAACCTAGCCTATGATAGAAAAGAAACAACCTGGAAAGTAAAGGTGGTCAACGCAATACTGACGAACACCCCCCACCTTAAGAAGTGCCAGTTGGGTTATAAAAATATATGGATCTGGCAACATATGCCCAGTGCGCTAACAATATGACAAATAATCTTCAATGTTACAAGGTCCGACAATTATGTCATGAGACTAATTCCATAACAATTAAAATAATCAACAGTTGAAGATATAACCTGTATCTGATTCAAAGTAAGCCCCTTGTGCTTTGATACAGCTAATGGCACGATCTAACAAACACTGGAACAACCTCTGTAGTTCTTGTGTTGTTATGGCCCTTAAAGTCGATGTTACAGCCCTTTAGATGTCCTCAATATCGTTTAAGAAGCGTCCCTTCAATCGTAACTTTAATTTTGGGAATAGAAAATAATAGATAAATCTGGGGAATAGGGTGAAAGGCTGAGAACACACTCTCGTTTTTGGGTCAAAAATTCTTTTTTGATGATGTCTCTTGGGTACTCAACCCACTGATGTTTTTGGTCATCAGACAACGAATGTAGTACAAACCTGCAAACAACTTTTTTCTTGCCAAAATCTTGCACTAAAATGTTATGAATGGTCTCTCTATTAACACCAGATTAATCTGCCATTATCCTCACAGTAAAACAATAATCTTCTTGTATCCGTTCTCTGACTTTTGCAATGAATTCATCATTACGAACAAAAATTTGGCGTCCAGGTCTAGGTGCATTAGTAATCATTTCCACACCACTTTTGAATGGTGAATACCACCTGAAAATATGTGCACAGGATAAACAATTATCCTCATAAACTTTTTGCATCAATTCAACTGTTTCATTGGTGCTTTTCTGAGTTTTAAAAAGAATTTAATGTTTGCCTTTTTTTCCGTGCTGATTACATAACAATGCACCCCTGACTAGGTCAACAAAATATAAGCTTGTTGGTTGTCTACTTGTCGAGTGGCGATAAAAAGTTGCCAGATCATAGAGGAATGTTGCCTCTTTAGATTCCATTCTTTGCTTCATAGATGGCTTTTTTGTCATGGTCATAATAAAATCATTCTCATTATTTAATTGTCAGACCTTGTACATCATTGGCTGAGCATAATACTGCTATGTTTTTTGTACTACATGTGAAAACTTGTTTGGTCATTTCATTGACATGCTAGTTACTAAATAAGTGAAAGGAAAATACAAGACTGCAGTCAAGGTGACAAGTCAGAGTTGCTTAAAAAAAATATAAAAAAAAAAACGCGCGCGCACGCACGCACACACCCCCCCCCCCCCAATATAGGTAGGAGGTCTGTGACAAACAACACAACCATCATCAGTACAAACCACATACTTCTCATAACGCTGAGCTTTCTTCCTGACTTCTACATCAGTGCTGCTGTCCTCATTGCTGAAGCTGCTGTGTCTGTCAGCTTCATCTTCAGCATTCAGCGTTGACTGACTATTGCTGGATTTCATGGCTTTCTTGAATGGGTTCATCTTTGTCAATGACTTTATAAAAACAGTATCCTTCACGGCTCCTGAAGATGATGATGCTGCTGCAGATGCACTATCAGAAAGTGTCTGGCAAAGAGAAATAAACATATGAACACAAATCTTTAAAAATAAAATTTCATAAGTCCAACTAGGATTGTGGTAGCACAGTTGATAGATGTGTCTCGAGGTGCCTTGAGACAATGCCTCCTGCTTTATTTAATAGATGACCATAATGTAGCACTATTACACTTCCTTAAATAATATACGCACCTGGGTGTAACTAGAGGGTCTGGCCGGCTCACTACACTCAGAGGAAAGGCAAGATAGACTTTTATTAACCAAATTGTGACCGGTACCTTCAGTATCGGAACTCTGCTCTGGCTGCTGAAGATGAGGACGGAGCATGCATGGGAATGCCCCGAGTGCTGTGATGTCAATTCTTGACTCAACTCAAATATTATACAAATGCTGTGATAGACGACAGCTACAAAGCTCACAGTAGAGCTTGCTTCACAGGAAAATTTGCTGAAAGGTAAATTCCAGTAGAGATTTGTGAATTCTTTCCTCTAATGAGACAGATCAAAGCTGGACGTGGTAAACTGTTCATGCCAGAAACTGTTTCTTCCGTCTGTGTCAGACTGAATCCCTGCCAGGAGTAAGTGAAGAACCACTAACTGAATTAATCTGCTGACTGTCACTGCAGCTATTCATCTAACATTCATGAAGTCCTTCTGATCCCATGTGGGAGCTAGCTATCATTGCTTACTCCTGTCTTTCCTATCACTAACACCATGCTCACGTATAAAATACAAGTATGTATGTAAATATATTATTATGTAATTGCTCTTTTGATTATATTTTGTTTATTTATGAGACATATGTGAGTGTTTGAATTTGTCACCGAACCCTCCTCTTTCAACCAGTAAGGCTGGGAGGTATAATAAGCCTTTTTGGCTTTTCCTTGTGAAGTCAACCTCTCAGCAGCAGTATTTTCTGTGCCCATCAGAGGGAACAGTATATTCTTTGACTCTGTAGATGTGTCATAGAGGTTTCACTTACACAAGTGAACCTGACCTGTGACGAGATGCTTGCTTGCGATCTGAAGGTCTGGAGTTTGAACAAGCATCAAGGTGGGCTCCCTAGTTGAACCAGCCTAAACTAACTACTATTCTATAAAGTAAAGCAGCTAGTGTGATGTTAAACTCCCCCCCCCCCCCCTCTTCCCCACCAACTCACCATCATCATGTAGCAAGTTTTTTTTTTTTTTAATTCAGATTATTGCTCTCATAACAGCCTGCTCGAAAGAAATCAGTCTGTCACCAGCTCTCCCACCTCATGCATATTTTTACCCAAGTTCTCTCTTATATCCTGTACCAATCTTGATGCTGGTCGGCTTCTGCCCCTATCACCTGGTACCACCCGCTGCATTCTTATTCTGTCCAATCCACCCAGCGATTGACACAGCCACAATATCAGTAACTTGTCAATTTTAAAAAATGAGTTGACCATATGCACTAAGGGCATTATTAGTGTCCTGTAAATTGTTATTTCAACTGATCTTATGTAGTGGACTAGATAACTAGCCAATCTTCTCAAAGCTTTACCAAATGTTGGACATCAAGGGACAGGACCAGTTGTGAATAAGTTTATGAACAGTTATAAAGATAGATCTATATGATGGGTTTTCTGTCTGTAAATATTGGTTTTTAAAATCTTGTTACCTGTCTCTGAACCGAATAACCTTGAATGATAAATTTACTTTAAAAAATGTAATGTGCTTTTAAAATAGTCTTCATCACTAAAAGTATGTTGTTTTAGCTCTACAGCAGTGGTGGCCAACATGCAACCACAGTCTACTAGCTGACTGGCTAGGCAGCAGTGGTGGCCAACGTGCAACCACAGTCTACTAGCTGACTGGCTAGGCAGCAGTGGTGGCCAACGTGCAACCACAGTCTACTAGCTGAATGGCTAGGCAGCAGTGGTGGCCAACGTGCAGCCACAGTCTACTAGCTGACTGGCTAGGCAGCAGTGGTGGCCAACGTGCAACCACAGTCTACTAGCTGACTGGCTAGGCAGCAGTGGTGGCCAACGTGCAACCACAGTCTACTAGCTGACTGGCTAGGCAGCAGTGGTGGCCAACGTGCAACCACAGTCTACTAGCTGACTGGCTAGGCAGCAGTGGTGGCCAACGTGCAACCACAGTCTACTAGCTGACTGGCTAGGCAGCATTGGTGGCCAACGTGCAACCACAGTCTACTAGCTGACTGGCTAGGCAGCAGTGGTGGCCAACGTGCAACCACAGTCTACGAGCTGACTGGCCTGGCAGCAAATGGTGGTCTGTGTTATATTGTCTCTCTCAGTGTTATTGCCTTTTGACTCTCTTTACAGGGTCTATAGTGTATAAAGTATTATTTTGAGGCATGATTTTAAAATAAGACAACTTATCACAGACATCAGAAGGAGACAGTCATCATTTTTCGGCCATGTTATGAGAAGAGGGAAAATAGAACATGTTGTGACCACTGGAAAGATATGTGGAAGGAGAGATAGAGGTAGATGACGAGAGAAGATGCTTGACAGTCTTGTTGCATGGCATGGAGGTTTGTCGGCACTTGAAGTGATACATGCTGCAGGAGATCGCAGATTATGGAGAGGCATGATCGCCCACGCCAGTCGGCAAGGCACCTGATGATGATGAGTGTATAAAGTAGACTGTCAAAGATTCCTGAAATAAAAAGTACACCCAACAACTTAAAAAGGTTGCCCTTCACTGCTATACAGTATAAATATTATATAATCTCTAGTGAACAGTGAAATATAATGTCCCTTCAGGTGGAGATTGTTTTTAAATGACCAGACTTCAAGGCCAATCCAATCTAAAATGTGCCAGGAAATGTCCAACAAAATAAATGTGACTTGTGTGATTTCTGACCTTGTCTAATCTTGTCTCAATATGGTATGTATTTTTTGTTGGGGGTGGTGGGGAAGGGTTATTTTAAAGCTACAGCCCGGCTGTCAATGGAGGCCCTAATATAACTTAATGTTGAACAGAGTAAGTCTTTGAGCTTATTCTCAAGCCAGCAGAAATCTGATGAAACTGCCTCCCCCTCCATCCTTATAAATAATTTGCAATATTCCATGTTAGTACTCTTGCTGGCTGCAGGCAGTCACTATTCCTTGAGAGATTGAGAACACCATAAATATATTGCTGCTTTATTTTTATGAGGGTTACTTACCAACTCTCCCACATCATGGGTATCTAAAGCAATAGGCACAGGATTTGAACCTAGTTTATCTAATGGCTGCCGAATGAGAGCTGCAAGCTTTTCCAATTTTTTCAAATTGCCTTCCAACTCCAGTATTTCCCGGGTGTAATTTTCTGAATGTGATCGTTTCTGAAGATAACTGTGGAAAAAGTGGAAACTTCTACACTTGAAAGTAAAAATAACAATTATTTGTATATCTAGAATAGATTAAATGTACAACATCTGTCACAGAGATGGGGTGAGTCACAGAACATCTGTCACAGAGATGGTGTGAGTCACTCATCGTGCTCTACATCTCCATGTGTTATTATTTATGAAGAGGGACACTACAAAGCTGCACTCAGTACATCTGATAAATCTATACTTCCATATTTGGGGTGGGGGGCTGATTAGTGTAAGTAAAGAACCCTTTTCATGCCTTGAGATGCATCTGGAACATGGTGCTAGCCATATATTTGTATGCACTAACTGGTGCTTAAAAAGACATTAAGAAAGCTATCAATCCTCAGAAGAGAGGAAAGGTTGCAGGTCCAGAAGTTATTACAGCAGAAATTTTTAAGGTAAAATAAAAATTAAAACTATGATACTGCTAAACAAATTATTCAGTAAAGTCTGGGAGACCGAAGAAATAGCAGCAGGTTGGAGAGAAGAATTTGTGACAAAAACTCCCAAAAAGGTGATCTGCAAGAATGTGGAAGCTACAGAAGATTTATTGCTGTCAGTGGAAAATATAAAGTAGGATTGTTTTAGAAAGACTAAAAGATGCCCTTGATAAACAGCTATGGGATGAACATGTATATTTCCATCCAAATAGATCCTGTACTTAACAGATAGCCGCACTGCGCATAATAACAGAATAAAGTATTGAAGAGCTCATCAACGTATCCCCCCCCCCCCCCCCCCCCCACCCCCCCCCCCCCCCCCCCCCCCCCCCCCCACATTTCAATGAGGTACAATGTGAAAGAGAAGAAGTATTGAACTGTATTCACCGCTTTATGTTAATTGATAGATTATCTTCTTCTTTCTCATTCGTACGAGTGACGTAAATGCACTGTGGCTGTTTGCAGCATAGAGGTGATATTTGAGCTTTGTTGGCCACCACATCTTACTTCTCTGGCAGTTTGGGCATTTGGCCACCTCATCTGACTTCTCTGACAGTTCGGGCATTTGCTCAGTTAGCATTCTCTGTAAGTTCCATGGAACAATGTAGTCTCATATGTGTGGTGACTTCATCTCCTACTCTCAACAGGTATTGTCCATAAGACCCCTCCAAGGCAGCTGAGTGCAGATGGGTCAACCCTCAAGGAAAGGTGAGGGTCGAGCATGGGCATCCCCACCCACAGAGGAAGGCTTCCATATATGCAGAGCTGTTACATGGGGCTCTGGTACTGGGCTTACCCAAGGAATCATCAGGTCCTGCACATGACTGCTTAACCTCACATCCGTGTACTGAGGCTTACACTCATTATTGGCTGCACCTTTGAGGGATCTCCAGTGCTGCAGACTGGAGACTCCAATTTCCACAAATGGGCATCTCACTTCCTCGGCATATTAAGACCACTCTTTGACAATGACACCTTCTTTTATATCTGCAGGTATTCAAACCCATGACCATCAGGTTAGCAGGAATGCTGCTAGTCACTGCATGACTGTGGCTTTCCTAAATACTGTACTATACAAAAACTGGCCAAAAGAGCCATTTACTTGTCTGATTTATGGAGATAAACTTCTGGGCCCAAAATGGCCGAGGAATGGCAGAATGTTATGCTTTGGGGTTGTTTTTGCCTCCCACAGCGCTCTGTTGGTGCAGTTTCCACATGTGGGCGGTAGCCTTAGCTACTGAGGTTAGTGCCTGGTGCAGCCCTATGAGCTGTGTTTGTCCTGTGGAATGCCTTTTATTTGTGCAGCGGTTGTGTCGTAGTGTACAATATCCCTGGCAGCCGGTTTACATGTGTGCTGGTGGAATACTGTATGTAGTAATTCTTAGTGTGTATGACCAACTTGTTGTGCCCGACTGCTTTTATCAACAACCAACTGCATTTATACTGGCGACTGTTATAGCTTTTAGGCGCCTCTGCAAACTGAAATGTGCATATGTCTGTATTGTTCCGGGGCTAATTGTTTGTTCACCGGTTTTTCAAATATGACAGTTAATGGACATCACGTTTGATTCAAACTGGCAGCACAGGAACAAGTATGGGAAAACTTGACTGCAGTGATGTTGAAACCCCAACTAAGACTGAATTATTTGAGGAGATCATGTCAAATAATTATGATACTAACTGGCAGATCCAGTTCAGTCACTGGAACACACAAACCCATCTACCACTACAAGGTAGTGACATAAAAGGGGCACAATTCAGCTTTCAGTTTGTCTACTGTCTGATGTGTCTTCCTATCTATGTCTTGTTTTTGTTTCTATGAATGTCTACACATTTGTTTCTATGAATGTCTACACATTTGTTTCTATGAATGTCTACACATTTGTTTCTATGAATGTCTACACATTTGTTTCTATGAATGTCTACACATTTGTTTCTATGAATGTCTACACATTTGTTTCTATGAATGTCTACACATTTGTTTCTATGAATGTCTACACATTTGTTTCTATGAATGTCTACACATTTGTTTCTATGAATGTCTACACATTTGTTTCTACGAATGTCTACACATTTGTTTCTTATGTACCTTCTGTGGATCAGAAAGTAAAACTGACGTCCTGAACATGTGGGTGTACAGAAAAACAGGTCGCATGTGATGAAATAAAAGAATTAAAAGGAAACATATTAAATTTTAAAAGACATAACATTCTTATAAAACCCACTGAGGCGTGAAAAGCAGACATTAAACAAGTCTGTCAAAAACTCACTTGTTGACATTGTCAATACTGGGACTATCTCTTATCCTGGCTGACAGCTTCTTGACTTCATTACAAATTTTCTGCTGGTCAGTGTTCACCCTGGATATCTTCTCCTTGGTCTCCTCAATTTCTTCCGTCAGTTTGGTATATCTGGAATGTCGACAATTTACATGTTATCATGTATTATTATTAGAGCTATCATTCAGAATCAGAAAAACATTCAAATAACAGTACAGGAAATAAATGTCAATAAATACAACTGTGTATAGAACATATTTCAAAACTTGGAGCATATGCCAGAATTCTTTCAGAACTGTCTTTACATCATAATACTAAAAGTCAAAGAACAAATAAGAGAAGATAAAGGAAGCAGCAGCAAAGAACAACAGTCTCAACTAGTCTATGTAAGAAGGAGTTCAAGAACAAGGCATCAAATTCATTGCACAAGGTTTCCCCATGTGGCTTCCAGGGCCCCAATGGACGGTGGAAAGGGAGGGGGGGGGGGAGGGAACACTCCCTAACAAGCATGTCATAAGAGTCTACTAATTAGTGGTTTCCTTCAAAGTCAGTGGTGCATCTGAGAGTCAAAGGACTAACAGTCTGTTTACAAATAGCTACATCTGTAAAATAGATGCACATGCAAAAACTCACATTCTGAAACAAGAGACTAAAATCCAGAAATGGAGGAACAATCAGAATTTTCTGCTGGAGTTTACAGTCGGTGAATGAAAAAAAAATCATTGCACATGGTTAATTTTTCATATGGCTCCAGTCTGTTTCCACAAAGCAGTTATCTGCCCACTGACAGCCTCAAACAAAGCATGAAACTCCGGTAATGACTCCTCGAGCAGTACACATCACTGAAAGAAGGGATCAACTGTCACAAGTTTTGTCATGTGGACATTATGCAGATATGTATGAAAATACAAGTGATCATTTATAAGTATTTATGGCCACTACCAGATGATCAGTGCTGAAAACATAACCCATCCTGCACCAAATGGTCGACAAATCTGGGCTTAACACAATATCCCAGTATTCATGTGCCACATAACAATATAATAACAAATTAATGTAAAAATATGTTTTAAACAAAATTAAATAAATGTCCCTGGTGATATGGGGAGGGGGGGATATGCTCTTAACAGCTTTAGAAAGGTGGGGGGGGGGGGGGGGTATGCTCTTAACAGCTTTAGAAATTATGTAGAATGCAATAATGTTACTGTCAATCAAGTAAAGATAATGCAGATAGTTCAATGATCAGCATTATCTATGCCAATGACCTGAGCTGTTGACTTAATGTATTGCTAACTTCCTGAGCTGTCGATTTACTGAGCTGTTGTTGACATACTGAGCTGTTCACTTACAGAGCTGTTGACTAAGCTGTTCACTTACTTAGCTGTTCACTTACTTAGCTGCTGACATTTTGAGCTGTTCACTTACTGAGCTGCTGACTTACTCAGCTGTTTACACACACTGAGCTGTTGACTAAGCTGTTCACTTACTTAGCTGCTGACATATTGAGCTGTTCACTTACTGAGCTGCTGACTTACTCAGCTGTTCACACACTGAGCTGTTGACTAAGTTGTTCACTTACTGAGCTGTTCACTTACTGAGCTGCTGACATATTGAGCTGTTCACTTACTGAGCTGTTGACTAACTGAGCTGTTCACTTACTGAGCTGTTGACTTACTGAGCTGTTGACTAACTGAGCTGTTGACTAACTGAGCTGTTCACTTACTGAGCTGTTGACTTACTGAGCTGTTCACTTACTGAACTGTTAACTAAGCTGTTCACTTACTTAGCTGTTCACTTACTGAGCTGTTGACTAAGCTGTTCACTTACTTAGCTGTTCACTTACTTAGCTGTTCACTTACTGAGCTGCTGACATATTGAGCTGTTCACTTACTGAGCTGTTGACTAAGCTGTTCACTTACTGAGCTGCTGACATATTGAGCTGTTCACACACTGAGCTGTTGACTAAGTTGTTCACTTACTGAGCTGTTCACTTACTGAGCTGCTGACATATTGAGCTGTTCACTTACAGAGCTGTTGACTAAGCTGTTCACTTACTGAGCTGCTGACATATTGAGCTGTTGACTTACTCAGCTGTTCACTTACAGAGCTGTTGACTAAGCTGTTCACTTACTTAGCTGTTCACTTACTGAGCTGTTGACTTACTCAGCTGTTCACTTACAGAGCTGTTGACTAAGCTGTTCACTTACTTAGCTGTTCACTTACTGAGCTGCTGACATATTGAGCTGTTGACTTACTGAGCTGTTGACTTACTGAGCTGTTGACTTACTCAGCTGTTCACACACTGAGCTGTTGACTAAGCTGTTGACTTACTGAGCTGCTGACATATTGAGCTGTTGACTTACTGAGCTGTTGACTAACTAAGCTGTTCACTTAGCTGTTGACATAATGAGCTGTTGACCTACTAAACTGTTCACTTACTGAGCTGTTGACCTACTAAACTGTTCACCTACTTAGCTGCTGACATATTGAGCTGTTGACTAACTAAGCTGTTCACTTAGCTGTTGACATATTGAGCTATTGACCTACTAAACTGTTCACTTACTGAGCTGTTGATTTACTGAGCAGCTGTCAAACTATTGCTATCAGCTAGTTAGCAGTCTGGCACAGGTAATATGTTTCCATACCTTTGGTGCAGGAGTTCAACTGTCAGATCATTGACTTCTATCACATTTGCCTTCAGAGACCCAGAATATGATTCCAGCAATGTCTCATCAAAGGTGAAATCTGCTGGTGGTGGTAAAGTGGACCTGAAAGGAGAAAACATCTGAGTACGCAAGAAAACTTTTTTTTAAACCAGTTTATGCCATGCGGCACTGTCAACATATCTGTCTACAACTTTCTTTTAAGAACCCCGTGTGTTCTCTGTGCCGATCTTTACTCCAAATTCTCATATTCTTAGCAGTGATGTGGATTGCTGCTCTCAAAATCCTTGAATCTATCACTCCAGGGGCATTAACAATTTTAGCACAATCCACAGACCAGATATCTGCAACTAAGGCAGAACCAGCCAGTCTATCAGCTCTTTCACTGCCAACAACACCTGCATCCCTGGGACAAAGATGATGGTAACTGCATGCACACAGGAGTTTCTCAATGACTCAATCCACTGTCTGCATTTGGAGCCTACTTTGACCCACTGGATCATGGTTATAGAATCACTTAGCTCACACACATAGAGAGAAAGAGAGATAGTGTGAGAGAGAGAGAGTCCTGTGATTCTAGCCATATGAAAGTTTGTGCCACCACCATCCCCTCCATCGCCATGCTGCTGGCAGCCATGGAGAATGCACCACTGGCTTCTTGGACTGATCTAGACTGTGAATGCCCATGCACTCGTGTCATACAATGGACCCACCTGTGTAGATCAGCACATCTCCACAGTGATGGCAACAGGATTCTGCTCCCGACAATTCCCATCAAGCATGATGATACATGAGAAGTGCAGTTGAGTGCTTTAGGCATAGGTATCCATTTCTCACCAGGGTGGATGTCTGTTAGACTGCAGACTTGCTTGATAGCATCCTCTGTCATTCTCAGCCATGATTTTCCCCTTTACAGTCTGCTGGACTTTTTTCTCTCTAAAGAGCATGTGGTGCTTCAGATCTGGGTTTATCTTCAGGAATGTGCAAGCCCTCCACAGTTCATGGTCAGAAAATCAAGGGCGGATTAATGACTACATGGAACAAATGTCTACGTAAATATGGAGATTATGTGGACAAGTTATATGAGGTAGGACAAATGTGTACAGATGGAACAAATGTCTAGGTCAATATGGAAATTATGCAGTCAAGTTATACGAAACAGGATAAATGTGTCAGTGTACAAATAGGACAAATGTCTAGGTAAACATTGAGATTATGTGGACAAGTTATATGAGGTAGGACAAATGTGTACAGATGGAACAAATGTCTAGGTCAATATGGAAATTATGCAGTCAAGTTATATGAGACAGGATAAATGTGTCAGTGTACAAATAGAACAAATGTCTAGGTAAATATGGAGATTATGTGGACAAGTTATATGAGACAGGATAAATGTGTCAGTGTACAAATAGGACAAATGTCTAGGTAAACATAGATATTATGTGAACAAGTTATATGAAACAGGATAAATGTGTCAGTGTACAAATAGGACAAATGTCTAGGTAAACATAGAGATTATGTGAACAAGTTATATGAGACAAGATAAATGTCTAGGTAAACATGGAGATTATGTGGATAAGTTATATGAGACAGGATAAATGTCTAGGTAAACATAGAGATTATGTGGACAAGTTATACGTGACAGGACAAATGTCTAGGTAAACATGGAGATTATGTGGACAAGTTATATGAGACAGGATAAATGTCTAGGTAAACATAGAGATTATGTGGACAAGTTATACGTGACAGGACAAATGTCTAGGTAAACATGGAGATTATGTGGACAAGTTATACGTGACAGGATAAATGTCTAGGTAAACATGGAGATTATGTGGACAAGTTATACGTGACAGGACAAATGTCTAGGTAAACATAGAGATTATGTGGACAAGTTATATGAGACAGGATAAATGTCTAGGTAAACATAGAGATTATGTGGACAAGTTATACGTGACAGGACAAATGTCTAGGTAAACATGGAGATTATGTGGACAAGTTATACGCGACAGGATAAATGTCTATATAAACATGGAGATTATGTGAACAAGTTATATGAGACAGGATACATGTCTAGGTAAACATGGAGATTATGTGGACAAGTTATACGCGACAGGATAAATGTCTATATAAACATGGAGATTATGTGAACAAGTTATATGAGACAGGATACATGTCTAGGTAAACATGGAGATTATGTAAACAAGTTATATGAGACAGGACAAATGTCTAGGTAAACATAGAGATTATGTGGACAAGTTATATGAGACAGGATAAATGTCTAGGTAAACATAGAGATTATGTGAACAAGTTATATGAGACAGGATACATGTCTAGGTAAACATGGAGATTATGTAAACAAGTTATATGAGACAGGACAAATGTCTAGGTAAACATAGAGATTATGTGGACAAGTTATATGAGACAGGATACATGTCTAGGTAAACATGGAGATTATGTAAACAAGTTATATGAGACAGGATAAATGTGTCTGTGTACAGACTGAACAAATATGTAGCTAAATAAAGAGATTATGTGGACACATTATATGTGACAATGTTGATTGTTGGTTTCCTTTAGATTTTTTGTTTGTTTAATGGATTCAGGTAACAATCTTTGTCTTACGTGCTGAAAGACTTCAGATTTGGTTCAAAAAGCACCTGTGACTTTGAGCAAGAACCTTTTCTTGTTGTTACAATTCTCTTGGTGAGTATTTACTACACAGAAGACTCCAAATAACTCACAACAGAACACACTCACTTGTATAAATCAATAAATGTCCCAGAGTATTCTTCTCCTGGACGTATAGCATTGATTGCATCTCCTATATGCTTGGTTATTGACTGGAATTCTGCACTGCAGGTATCAGTGTTTTTCAAGTAGCTTTCTAAAACAAATTTCCTGAAATTTAATTTAACAAATGAGATTCTTCAAGTACCAGTGATTAGTCTCATGACAAAGGTTCTGCTAGAAAACTATGGTGGACAAAAGTCACTGAATTTCAACTGATTCTTGAGAAATTACAAGTGGTATATACTTCATGATACTGGCTTCTATTTTACATTCAAACATTAAAGCCTAGTTTAATATATAGTCAGGCAATATTTTATACACAAACACAAAAAACTTGGTTCCTCTAAATAAATAAAAGAGCTGTCCTCTCATATTTTGATATAAGCAGCAACACCACAGCTCTTCCCACATTTCATACTCAAAGAACATCAAGTTGTATCACATTTTAGATACAAATACATATGGTATGCTATAAGGTATGCTCACAAGTCTCAACAATATTGAAAAACCACAATTGGTGCAATCACATAGAACCTTAACATCTATGTATTAATCACACAGCACAATCTGAACAACCTTGCGTACTCACTGCACAGAAATATTATCGCAAGGTAAATATAATGCCACAGCACAATCATAACAATCTTAACACTGCATGCACAATGAGACAGCACAATCCTCACATTTTATGTACAAAGGTTTCCTGCCCGTCCTGGTGACAGTCGAGTACTGCCGGCAGGGCTGTGTCCCTCAACATCAGCTGGTGTTCTTGAGCATTGTTCACCGATATGATGTAGTCATTGTGAAGTTTATGCAGTCGCACAGCAGAGCGGAAGAATTTTGATTTAGCTTCATCAAGTTTAGGTCCAGATTTACCTGCAGTAGGGACAGAGTGGAAGGATTCTAATTTAGCTTCATAAAGTTTAGGTCCAGATTTACCTGCAGTAGAGACAGAGTGGAAGGATTCTGATTTAACTTCATCATGTTTATGAGCAGATTTGACTACTGTAGGGGACAGAGTGGAAGAATTCTGATTTAGCTTCATCAAGTTTATGAGCAGATTTGACTGCAGTAATCTGGTAATCCTAGTTTCAGCATCATAGCAAACGGGTCACCCCATTGTTGCTCCGCTCCTGTGCCAACGAAAAACACTCGTAGCTCACAGTGTCACACCATGCACTCAACTCAGAAGCTGGGTGACGAAACCATATCCTTCCAGTCTACAAATGGAGCAAAAATGCAACGGCCACCGCCTGGCAGAACTGCCACGGCTAAAAAAAAAAAAAAAAAAAAAAAAAAAAAAAAAAAAAAAAAAAAAATAAAAAAAAGTGGCCGTGCCTAGCGTCCACTGTGACTTGAAGCATTATGTGAGGGGTTAACAAATGGTCACCCCAGCAGTACCCTCACTATTAGCTGGGAAAGGGACTTAGGACATTACATCCACCAGCAGGCGTCGCCCCTACAACGACCTGACTGCAGTAGGGACACAATTAACACTCTTTTACTGCAGACCCTTTTTTTCTTAACCTTCACTGCAGTAAAACTTTTCAGAAAGATCCTGCTTATTCGTATGCAGACTGTTAGTTCCTTACCTCCCATGAATATGCATTCTGACTTCCAAGAAACCTCACACACACACGCATGGGCGCACACACACACAACCAGATGACATTTGGTTAGCGGGATTACTTACCAAGGTAATGTTCCAGGTTCAATTCCCCAGTGGTGGAAAGATTTTTACATCAAAGTAATCAACCAAACTTAGAACCAGATAACTGTTTTTTAAACTAATTATGTGAGAAAAGTGGACCATGAAAAACCACACAGGCAACCACACAGCACATGGGAACGTCTAACATTTCACAAACCACATAAGAATATTCCATGGATTACTACTATTCACTTTTAAGAGAACAAACAAACATTATTTTTAAAGACATGAGTTCAGCCTGCAGGTCTGTCCAACAACTTGCTCTTTCAGGCTAAGCCCTTACATAGACTGTTTCATTCATACATCGTTCTATAAGTAATAATAAACATTATCAAGGATATTTAGGAACATGAAGGGAGGAAGGAATAAAGCACAGATGTAAATGATCTTGCCACATAATGGGACGATCTCTTTGATGTGCTTGGTGAATTACAGTGCTCAGTTGAGAGAAATCATCATCATCATGTAGCAGGAACGAGAAATTGTGAGGCTAGAAGCATTAGGAATTTTTAGTATAACTGAATAATGAACTACATTAAATGATAGTTTTTATAAACTATGTAAATTACATCCGTGCCATCTCCACAATGAAGGTTGGCTACAGTGTGTCACTGTTCTCTTTGGGAGTATTAAGTAGTGAGGCCCCAATCTATTCTCATACCATTGTCCAAAAACCATGAGAGCGGATTTTTACCCGTCCACTGCGGTTAACGAACCACAGTACTCGAGGGTCATGAAACTGTTAACAGCATTCGCTAGCCTCTAAGCCACACATATGTAAGTTACCAAACAACACATACAATATGTAAGTTACCAAACAACACATACAATATGTAAGTTACCAACTACAATATGTAGTTACCAAACAATACATACATATGTAAGTTACCAAACAACACATACAACATGTAAGTTACCAAACAACACATACAATATGTAAGTTACCAAACAACACATACAACATGTAAGTTACCAAACAACACATACAACATGTAAGTTACCAAACAACACATACAACATGTAAGTTACTAAACAACACATACAATATGTAAGTTACCAAACAACACATACAATATGTAAGTTACCAAACAACACATACAACATGTAAGTTACCAAACAACACATACAATATGTAAGTTACCAAACAACACATACAATATGTAAGTTACCAAACAACACATACAATATGTAAGTTACCAAACAACACATACAATATGTAAGTTACCAAACAACACATACAATATGTAAGTTACCAAACAACACATACAATATGTAAGTTACCAAACAACACATACAACATGTAAGTTACCAAACAACACATACAATATGTAAGTTACCAAACAACACATACAACATGTAAGTTACCAAACAACACATACAATATGTAAGTTACCAAACAACACATACAATATGTAAGTTACCAAACAACACATACAATATGTAAGTTACCAAACAACACATACAATATGTAAGTTACCAAACAACAGTTATTCCAAAATAATACATCAACAAAAAAATGAGGCTGTCTCTGAGTTCCCAGATACTACCAACTGAATTTATTCATGCTTCTATTTTTATGTTTGGTTTCAATTCTATGGTGATAATAAACAGTATGTTCCTTATGAAGATGTAGTTTCTGACAAAGAATGTTAAAATATATGTCAAAAAGAAGAGAGGAAAACATCTGAGGTAATGGTAGCTGCAACCGTCATTAGATTACCCATCAAATCCATTCAGGAAAGACACATGATATTTATAAAACATATTAAAGAGAAAAGTTGAAATCAAGAAATTAGCTTTATGTTGGAAAATACTATTGGAAATAGACAATGTTGGAGCAAGTACACAGTCGCAATGCAGAATGTAAAATACTATGTAAGAATCAGGTGAAGACAGAGAGAGATGTCTGGAAAGTTTAAACAGCAGAGTGATAAATAATAATATAAGCATCATCAACTTCGTAAAAATATCAGATAATAGAGAAGACCAAGATGTGAAGAAGAATACAGAACTTTCATAATACTTCTTCTTCTTCGACCACCGGCTGAGAATTCCGGCGAAAGGTCCTGGTTAATCGTCCGCTTGGACTTTTGGCCTTTTCCTGGAACCTCAGTTTTGCGTGTAGAACTGTTTTACTGGCTTTTGCGATTGCCTGCTCCACAGGCAGATGTTTTCATAATACTATCATCATGTATATTTTTAAATTTTGCATGCAGCAAGAACAAACTACTGATGCAAATTTATGATTTATATTCCATCCAACAAATGCTCACCTTTTGACTGCAAATCCTGAAATTTGGCCTTGTCGGTATTCAAACGTTCCACACACTTAGCATACTCTATTCGGTTCTTCACCATTTCATCTTGGATCTGCAGACAATGTGAATCATTAAGTTTCTCAAAGGAAGGAATGAGAACAAATTTAATGTAGCCAACAACTTACTTGTGAGAAATTATTTTATCTGTTCATTACACATGTTATTCTGCTGATTTTGTATTTACCAACTAATCTAGGCCCTCAATGAATTTCAGTCTTTCTAATATCCTCAACCCCATGAAGAACTCTGCATTTCATGTCCTAAGCACCAGCAACGAGATCCAAATTATAATTTTGAGAGCAAGCATCTTCCCTATAGCAACATACAGATGTGAGTAGGGAACAATCTCCCAGTCCTTAAAAAAGAGAATAGGGGCTTTTGAGCTGATATGCTATAGAAAGATTCTCAGAATATCTTGGATGAAAAAGGAGAAATACTGACATCTTGACAGAAATGAACATCTAATAATAAACAGCATCCTGTCTCGGAAGCTGAAAATTTTTTGGTAATTTCAAGCGCCACAACGGATTGGAAAAAATATAGCAGAAGGTATGGTACACACATAAGCATTTATAATTAACTAGCTGTACCCAGCCAAGCGTTGCTGTGGCCCAGTCTGGTAAACTGGAAAAGAAAGAAAATACAAAGTGCACCTGTCTAATATGGGTAATATCAGTAATTGCACAGCTACACAGATAGTCTGATATGCCAACTCTAGAACATGCAACATATCAGTGAATGTCGATATTAGTGGTTGAATAAAGTGCACTGTTAAATAGAGAAAAAAAGATTTGTTTATGGAGGCTAAAGCATCTGCTGTGCTTAAACAGGTCAAGGTAAAGCTGACTGCTATTCCTTTAACTGACAAACAAACTGGCACCCAAAAAAAAAAGAGAATAGCTGAGGAAGCCGTATTAAAATATAAATATGTAAGAAATGAACTGTAAAATAGTTATAAGCTCTGAGCTAACAGTGTCTGTCAAAACCCTCCCCCCAACCCCCCCCCCCCTTTCCCAATCATATCTCCCTCTCAGAATGATTTAACAATTATCACATAGCGACATTGTTAAAATAAAAATAGTTAAGAAATGAGAACTTTAAAATAATATCTCAAGCAGCTCTCTCAGTTAACAGTGTCTGGCTTCAAACCCCCCCCCCTTTTTCGCATGGCAATCATATCATCCTCTACGAAGTATGGGCAAGTCATTACTTGACGAAATATTGTTGTTAAATTGAACTTGGCATCCGTGTCCACCCAGACTAAAATAGGTAGCATTAATCTGTAGTGAGAAGTAAATGTGGCCACTGTAACAGCTACCACATCACCCATCGAGTACCAGTACTACTGCTACCACTATCACCACTACCACCGTCACAACAACAACACAAAACGGTCACTACTGTCTGTACAGGTCGTTGTAGCCAGAGGAGTTGGCGCCGCATGCTGTCGCCACGGACTGTTTAGTTTAAGTGTGCCCCTGACATAAAACTCCATCATCTAACCAGTGGTGGAACCCACAGTAATATTCCATGATTGGGAAAAAAGTACACTATACTCACAGATAGCATAAATAAAAACCTGCACTCGTCATCTCTCCCTCTCCGAAGGGACGAATTTTAATTAACCTTTGCATCCGTGTCGAACCAAACCAAACTGTACTGAAAGCCATCTTTGTTAACAGTTTCTGTCATCAACGAATAGTTTTTGATCGAGTGAAGCGTCAAGGGGAGACTAATTTGGACTTTACTGAAATCGGATGTCTTGGGCATAAGGCACAGATATCGCAACCTAGCTGTAAACCACAACACAACGTGCCAACCGCCCCTTTAGGAGAAAAAGAAAAATTAGCACCCAGCGGGGAATCGAACACCAGTCATCCGCGTGAAGGGCGAAATACTTACAACTATACTACCAAAGACTTAAGACTTTAGGTCAGATATCGCAGCCTATCTGTAAACCACAACACAGTGTGCCAACCGCCCTCTCAGGGGCAAACGAATATTACCTGTGGCATGAACATTGAGCATCATGTCGCCACTATCGCAGGCTAGCTGTAAACCCCAAAATCGAGCGGAAAAAAACGCATAAATATTGCAGCCTAGCTATAAATCACAACAATACATGGCAGCCACCCAGTTAGGGCCCCCCCCCTCCCCCAAAAAAACACTATATCACCCAGAGGGGAATCAAACGCCTATCGTGCGAAAGGCAAAATGCTTACAACTAACTACGCTAAGAACTATTCAAGCATTTAGCAGAAATGAAATTATATAATAATGAGAAGTTGCTGTTGCACATAGAGTCAAAGGTGGCCAACAACTAAAAGCAAATCCGGGCCGGCAATGAAACCACTAATAAAATGATCGTTGCTGGAGCTACGTCATTCGTGGTTTGTGCAAAACTCATACATACAAACACGCGCGGAGTCTAAGGTAACGTTGTGTGAAAATTTGAAAGCAATCGGTAATGAAATGTTGGATTGATCCTGGGGGAAAAGACATCTATTGGCAACCCTGCTCAGCAGTCGAAGGTGGCCAATCAACTAAAAACAAATCTGGGCTGGCAACGAAACAAATAATGATTTGACCGTTGCTGGAGCTACGTCGTTCGTGGCTTGTGCGATTTTATGACCCAAAAAAATGCTCTGAGTCAAAGGCAACGTTTTGTGAAAAATTGAAAGCAATCGGTACAGTAGTGTCCGAGTATATTTAACAAACTCGGAAAATAAACATTTTTATTAATATAGATTTCTCTCAGTGTCTCAAACCAAGGTTTAAAGACAACTGCAGGCAATTTAGCAGCAGACTGTTTTGAGTTAACTTTTACAATGGCTTGACTGATAACAATTCAAAAAGCAATGACAAGTGACTGAATGAACAATGCCTAGAAAAACCATATAACAACCAATAAATGCCTGGGCTGATCTGTAACATCCTGCAAACAATCGTATAATAAACAGCTGACAAATATAGCTGTCCTCATTGTAACATACCTTGAGAAAATCTGAATCCAATCTATTTCTGTCATCAAGGTATCTTTTCCTTGCCAGTTTCTTGTCACTGATCAAATCAGTGAGGATTTCCAAAGTGATATTCTGAAGATGGTCGGCATTGGCCTTTAACAATTTCACTAGATTATCAGTCTCTTGTAAAATCACATCCCAAGCCTGAAACATAAACAGGCCAAGTTGGACCAACCAGCACAGCTTTTAACTGAATATTTCACACTGACTAAAAAAAAATCACAAAAGAAATGCTAGTATCAGCTGTATGGTGAATACAATATAATAACCTTATTTTGCAGATGAAATTGTTCAGCTAAGTAAGAAAAACAATGGTGACGAAAACAAAAGTAGCCCAGATCCATCCATAAGCCTGGGAAACATCATGCAAAAATAAATGGCTTCAGAATCATCACACCCTAGAACACTTTAGGGAAACTGATAGGGAAAAAAGTGTGGCCAAACAAGGAACCAAAAACTGGAGTCAAGTGGTCTTTTGGTGATGACACTAGGTGGTTACTACCCAGGAAGAGATATCTAGTGCAATGCTGTGGTATTTGCTTACGACACATAAGAAGGCTTCCAGGCAGGAATGCAAACTGCTGCAGCAACCACTGACTCAGAAAACACATGTAACAGTGTCCAATACAGACTGTTGTTGGACATGCACACACACAGAGGCCAAAGAACAGTATTGTTGTGATGTGGTGCATGGTGAGGCGTGCTGTCGGGGGATGTACCACATGCTGGTCATCACATTGGATTCCCTTCCATCCACTAACCATGCAGCCCATTTTGCTTGGCGTGGCACAAGCTAATGGTGATAACTTGAGTTAAAGGATGGCCAATCCAACAAAAGCACCACTATATAAGCTAAGCCACACGCAACAAGCTAACATGTCTACAAGTACTGTAACATAATACACCCCGCCAAGTATGATCTCACAGTGCGATCAGTCCCTTTGACCTCACTTCTCTACCTTTCACCTCCCAATGAAGCACTGGCTTTCAACCATCTCCTGCACAACACCTTTGACCTCACTTCTCTACCTTTCACCTCCCAATGAATCACTGGCTCTCAACCATCTCCTGCACAACCCCTTTGTTCTCACTTCTCTACCTTTCACCTCCCAATGAATCACTGGCTCTCAACCATCTCCTGCACAACCCCTTTGTTCTCACTTCTCTACCTTTCACCTCCCAATGAATCACTGGCTCTCAACCATCTCCTGCACAACCCCTTTGTTCTCACTTCTCTACCTTTCACCTCCCAATGAATCACTGGCTCTCAACCATCTCCTGCACAACACCTTTGTTCTCACTTCTCTACCTTTCACCTCCCAATGAAGCACTGGCTCTCAACCATCTCCTGCACAACCCCTTTGACCTCACTTCTCTACCTTTCACCTCCCAATGAAGCACTGGCTCTCAGCCAACTCCTGCACAACACCTTTGATCTCACTTCTCTACCTTTCACCTCCCAATGAAGCACTGGCTCTCAACCATCTCCTGCACAACACCTTTGACCTCACTTCTCTACCTTTCACCTCCCAATGAAGCACTGGCTTTCAGCCAACTCCTGCACAACCCCTTTGACCTCACTTCTCTACCTTTCACCTCCCAATGAAGCACTGGCTCTCAGCCAACTCCTGCACAACCCCTTTGACCTCACTTCTCTACCTTTGACCTCCCAATGAAGCACTGGCTTTCAACCAACTCCTGCACAACCCCTTTGACCTCACTTCTCTACCTTTCACCTCCCAATGAAGCACTGGCTTTCAACCAACTCCTGCACAACCCCTTTGATCTCACTTCTCTACCTTTCACCTCCCAATGAAGCACTGGCTCTCAGCCAACTCCTGCACAACCCCTTTGACCTCACTTCTCTACCTTTGAGCCTCCAATGAAGCACTGGCTTTCAACCATCTCCTGCACAACCCCTTTGATCTCACTTCTCTACCTTTCACCTCCCAATGAAGCACTAGCTTTCAACAAACTCCTGCACAACACCTTTGATCTCACTTCTCTACCTTTCACCTCCCAATGAAGCACTGGCTTTCAACAAACTCCTGCACAACACCTTTGATCTCACTTCTCTACCTTTCACCTCCCAATGAAGCACTGGCTTTCAACAAACTCCTGCACAACCCCTTTGACCTCACTTCTCTACCTTTCACCTCCCAATGAAGCACTGACTTTCAACCAACTCCTGCACAACCCCTTTGACCTCACTTCTCTACCTTTCACCTCCCAATGAAGCACTAGCTTTCAACAAACTCCTGCACAACCCCTTTGTTCTCACTTCTCTACCTTTCACCTCCCAATGAAGCACTGACTTTCAACCAACTCCTGCACAACCCCTTTGACCTCACTTATCTACCTTTCACCTCCCAATGAAGCACTGACTTTCAACAAACTCCTGCACAACACCTTTGATCTCACTTCTCTACCTTTCACCTCCCAATGAAGCACTGACTTTCAACAAACTCCTGCACAACCCCTTTGTTCTCACTTCTCTACCTTTCACCTCCCAATGAAGCACTGGCTTTCAACAAACTCCTGCACAACCCCTTTGACCTCACTTCTCTACCTTTCACCTCCCAATGAAGCACTGGCTTTCAACAAACTCCTGCACAACCCCTTTGACCTCACTTCTCTACCTTTCACCTCCCAATGAAGCACTGGCTTTCAACAAACTCCTGCACAACCCCTTTGACCTCACTTCTCTACCTTTCACCTCCCAATGAAGCACTGACTTTCAACAAACTCCTGCACAACACCTTTGATCTCACTTCTCTACCTTTCACCTCCCAATGAAGCACTGACTTTCAACAAACTCCTGCACAACACCTTTGATCTCACTTCTCTACCTTTCACCTCCCAATGAAGCACTGACTTTCAACAAACTCCTGCACAACACCTTTGATCTCACTTCTCTACCTTTCACCTCCCAATGAAGCACTGACTTTCAACAAACTCCTGCACAACACCTTTGATCTCACTTCTCTACCTTTCACCTCCCAATGAAGAACTGGCTTTCAACCAACTCCTGCACAACCCCTTTGATCTCACTTCTCTACCTTTCACCTCCCAATGAAGCACTGGCTTTCAACAAACTCCTGCACAACACCTTTGATCTCACTTCTCTACCTTTCACCTCCCAATGAAGAACTGGCTTTCAACCAACTCCTGCACAACCCCTTTGATCTCACTTCTCTACCTTTCACCTCCCAATGAAGCACTGGCTTTCAACTAACTCCTGCACAACACCTTTGATCTCACTTCTCTACCTTTCACCTCCCAATGAAGCACTAGCTTTCAACAAACTCCTGCACAACCCCTTTGTTCTCACTTCTCTACCTTTTACCTCCCAATGAAGAACTGGCTTTCAACCAACTCCTGCACAACACCTTTGATCTCACTTCTCTACCTTTCACCTCCCAATGAATCACTGGCTCTCAACCATCTCCTGCACAACCCCTTTGTTCTCACTTCTCTACCTTTCACCTCCCAATGAATCACTGGCTCTCAACCATCTCCTGCACAACACCTTTGTTCTCACTTCTCTACCTTTCACCTTCCAATGAAGCACTGGCTCTCAACCATCTCCTGCACAACCCCTTTGACCTCACTTCTCTACCTTTCACCTCCCAATGAAGCACTGGCTCTCAGCCAACTCCTGCACAACACCTTTGATCTCACTTCTCTACCTTTCACCTCCCAATGAAGCACTGGCTCTCAGCCAACTCCTGCACAACCCCTTTGACCTCACTTCTCTACCTTTCACCTCCCAATGAAGCACTGGCTCTCAACCATCTCCTGCACAACCCCTTTGACCTCACTTCTCTACCTTTCACCTCCCAATGAAGCACTGGCTCTCAACCATCTCCTGCACAACCCCTTTGATCTCACTTCTCTACCTTTCACCTCCCAATGAAGCACTGGCTCTCAGCCAACTCCTGCACAACCCCTTTGACCTCACTTCTCTACCTTTGAGCTCCCAATGAAGCACTGCCTCTCAGCCAACTCCTGCACAACCCCTTTGACCTCACTTCTCTACCTTTGACCTCCCAATGAAGCACTGACTTTCAACAAACTCCTGCACAACACCTTTGATCTCACTTCTCTACCTTTCACCTCCCAATGAAGCACTGACTTTCAACAAACTCCTGCACAACACCTTTGATCTCACTTCTCTACCTTTCACCTCCCAATGAATCACTGGCTCTCAACCATCTCCTGCACAACCCCTTTGTTCTCACTTCTCTACCTTTCACCTCCCAATGAATCACTGGCTCTCAACCATCTCCTGCACAACACCTTTGTTCTCACTTCTCTACCTTTCACCTTCCAATGAAGCACTGGCTCTCAACCATCTCCTGCACAACCCCTTTGACCTCACTTCTCTACCTTTCACCTCCCAATGAAGCACTGGCTCTCAGCCAACTCCTGCACAACACCTTTGATCTCACTTCTCTACCTTTCACCTCCCAATGAAGCACTGGCTCTCAGCCAACTCCTGCACAACCCCTTTGACCTCACTTCTCTACCTTTCACCTCCCAATGAAGCACTGGCTCTCAACCATCTCCTGCACAACCCCTTTGACCTCACTTCTCTACCTTTCACCTCCCAATGAAGCACTGGCTCTCAACCATCTCCTGCACAACCCCTTTGATCTCACTTCTCTACCTTTCACCTCCCAATGAAGCACTGGCTCTCAGCCAACTCCTGCACAACCCCTTTGACCTCACTTCTCTACCTTTGAGCTCCCAATGAAGCACTGCCTCTCAGCCAACTCCTGCACAACCCCTTTGACCTCACTTCTCTACCTTTGACCTCCCAATGAAGCACTGGCTTTCAACCAACTCCTGCACAACCCCTTTGACCTCACTTCTCTACCTTTCACCTCCCAATGAAGCACTAGCTTTCAACAAACTCCTGCACAACCCCTTTGACCTCACTTCTCTACCTTTCACCTCCCAATGAAGCACTGGCTCTCAGCCAACTCCTGCACAACCCCTTTGACCTCACTTCTCTACCTTTGACCTCCCAATGAAGCACTGGCTTTCAACCAACTCCTGCACAACCCCTTTGACCTCACTTCTCTACCTTTCACCTCCCAATGAAGCACTGGCTTTCAACCAACTCCTGCACAACCCCTTTGATCTCACTTCTCTACCTTTCACCTCCCAATGAAGCACTGGCTCTCAGCCAACTCCTGCACAACCCCTTTGTTCTCACTTCTCTACCTTTGAGCCCCCAATGAAGCACTGGCTTTCAACCATCTCCTGCACAACCCCTTTGATCTCACTTCTCTACCTTTCACCTCCCAATGAAGCACTAGCTTTCAACAAACTCCTGCACAACACCTTTGATCTCACTTCTCTACCTTTCACCTCCCAATGAAGCACTGGCTTTCAACAAACTCCTGCACAACACCTTTGATCTCACTTCTCTACCTTTCACCTCCCAATGAAGCACTGGCTTTCAACAAACTCCTGCACAACCCCTTTGACCTCACTTCTCTACCTTTCACCTCCCAATGAAGCACTGACTTTCAACCAACTCCTGCACAACCCCTTTGACCTCACTTATCTCACCTTTCACCTCCCAATGAAGCACTGGCTTTCAACAAACTCCTGCACAACCCCTTTGTTCTCACTTCTCTACCTTTCACCTCCCAATGAAGCACTGACTTTCAACCAACTCCTGCACAACCCCTTTGACCTCACTTATCTACCTTTCACCTCCCAATGAAGCACTGACTTTCAACAAACTCCTGCACAACACCTTTGATCTCACTTCTCTACCTTTCACCTCCCAATGAAGCACTGACTTTCAACAAACTCCTGCACAACCCCTTTGTTCTCACTTCTCTACCTTTCACCTCCCAATGAAGCACTGGCTTTCAACAAACTCCTGCACAACCCCTTTGACCTCACTTCTCTACCTTTCACCTCCCAATGAAGCACTGGCTTTCAACAAACTCCTGCACAACCCCTTTGACTTCACTTCTCTACCTTTCACCTCCCAATGAAGCACTGACTTTCAACAAACTCCTGCACAACACCTTTGATCTCACTTCTCTACCTTTCACCTCCCAATGAAGCACTGACTTTCAACAAACTCCTGCACAACACCTTTGATCTCACTTCTCTACCTTTCACCTCCCAATGAAGCACTGACTTTCAACAAACTCCTGCACAACACCTTTGATCTCACTTCTCTACCTTTCACCTCCCAATGAAGCACTGACTTTCAACAAACTCCTGCACAACACCTTTGATCTCACTTCTCTACCTTTCACCTCCCAATGAAGAACTGGCTTTCAACCAACTCCTGCACAACCCCTTTGATCTCACTTCTCTACCTTTCACCTCCCAATGAAGCACTGGCTTTCAACAAACTCCTGCACAACACCTTTGATCTCACTTCTCTACCTTTCACCTCCCAATGAAGAACTGGCTTTCAACCAACTCCTGCACAACCCCTTTGATCTCACTTCTCTACCTTTCACCTCCCAATGAAGCACTGGCTTTCAACTAACTCCTGCACAACACCTTTGATCTCACTTCTCTACCTTTCACCTCCCAATGAAGCACTAGCTTTCAACAAACTCCTGCACAACCCCTTTGTTCTCACTTCTCTACCTTTCACCTCCCAATGAAGAACTGGCTTTCAACCAACTCCTGCACAACCCCTTTGATCTCACTTCTCTACCTTTCACCTCCCAATGAAGAACTGGCTTTCAACCAACTCCTGCACAACACCTTTGATCTCACTTCTCTACCTTTCACCTCCCAATGAAGAACTGGCTTTCAACAAACTCCTGCACAACCCCTTTGATCTCACTTCTCTACCTTTCACCTCCCAATGAAGAACTGACTTTCAACCATCTCCTGCACAACCTTTTTATCTTTGTGGACTTATTCATAACTGGTTGGGTTTTGTTTTTTCTGCTAAAGTTTTTTATGAAATGACGCCAAACCTCCTCAGTGATTTCTTGCAACATGTATGTTCAGTAAGTGGTATCATTTCATGATTTCCCTAAAGGCAAAGGTAACATACTATACCTTGTGATTTAGTTAAAATAAACAAATTGTTCAAAAATACTTTACAAACAGCACAACATTCTAAGAACTTACCAGTCTAGTCAGACATAAACATTCAAATTTAACTTTAGAATAGCCCAGCATTTCCTGAACTCTTGCAATCTAGTCAAGACTTGAACATTTTCAAATACATCTTAATAACAGATAGTATTCTTGGAATCAGACTAAACATTCAAATATACCTTACAAACAGAACAATACTCCTCAAATCTTGCAGTCAAGTCCAACATAAACTATTTCAAATATACCTTACAAACAGTATAATACTTTTAATCTTGCAGTCAAGTCCAACATAAACTATTTCAAATATACCTTACAAACAGAACAATACTCCTCAAATCTTGCAGTCAAGTCCAACATAAACTATTTCAAATATACCTTACAAACAGAACAATACTCCTCAAATCTTGCAGTCAAGTCCAACATAAACTATTTCAAATATACCTTACAAACAGTATAATACTTTTAATCTTGCAGTCAAGTCCAACATAAACTATTTCAAAGATACCTTAAAAACAGCACAGCAATCCTTGAACTCTGAATTGTCTGATTTCATTGTCATACGCAGCATCTTCTCCAGGCCTGCAGCATACTTTCTGTCATTGTCAACTCGCATAGAGATAAAATGTTGCACTGTGTCTAAGAGGCGAAGCTCAGCATCCTGTACACGCACAATAGCTTCATGGGAAGATTTTCCCTTCATGTCTTTTCCAAAACCCATGATGAGTCCTAACAACAAGTGGGCTGGAGAAAAAGATGGTAACAAAATGTAACTTCATTTTTTAACGTGCTCATGACATCTGACTAGAGTGGGTCCCAGATGCAGTCCTTGGAAGTAAAGACAGCCGGCGTGATGTTGACTACATCATCCACAAAGTGCCAATCAGTCTATAAAATATAGGTCTAGCCCTATATGCCTGAAGATGTGGAAAAGGAGCCTTAACTTTTTTAACTTACTTATTTTTATATTCCTAATTAAATAATTATACCCGTTTTTTTTTTTTTTTTACCTATCTTTATCACTGAACTGTACAGAATTATAGTTATATTGCTCTCATGTTTTCTCAACATGCATGCTATCAAACACACTCTTTTCTTTAACTCTTGATTCACTGAATACAGTTCAGTTTGATTTCTTACTGCTAGTTGCTAAATGACCCATGACCCACGAACTGCTGAAGAAAAGATGCATGACATTAACATTATTTTCTTCAGTCTGTTGTGTAGTCTGCTGGTATTCAGGAAAACTAAAGGCATTTATAAATGGCCCTTGGAATGTCAGGACAATTACACACAAAAATTATGTCATGTGGTAAAAAAAAGTTGAAAATATAAAAACCTGGTAAGCAAATGAGATGGATACTAGGATATGATCTTGTAAAATAACAATGAATAAAAGCACAATAGAAATTCAGAAAGTGGTAAAGACAAAAATAAAAAAGAGTTGGATAGCATGTATGTTGATAGTAGGAGTACATGTTAATGAGGACATATTAAATTTGTATAATGTTTAAACTGAATGAGGCTCCAGACTCACTGACTTAAATTGGTACCATAAAAAAAATGTTAGAGAACAGTGAAGTCAAAGACACCAAGGAAGATTCTGATCACATTACCCATCAAGTGCTGACTGGTCTATACAAAACATTACCCAATATGCCCTAGCTCAAGCATGGAACATGGTCCTTATGTATAAATTAAACCAGTTAATCAATCAGATAGTCGATAGATTACCCTCACTGCAAATCAAACCATTCAGTTTATAAGTGCCAGATCCCCTCCTCAGTAAATCATGCAGCGTATATAGCGGCTGACGACACCAGTTCTGTCTTGGATTTGAATTCTTCCTTGACTTCCTGCATGGTGCTCTTGTCTAGCCACACCCCTTTAAAATTGTTATTTTGCAGCCTGGTCATGGTTGCAGGTTCAGTCATCATTTGGTTCTTGCAAATGCCTTACTTCTCGTAGAGCATTCAGTATATCAGCATGGCCCAAGGCACATCCACCGCCATGGTAGCTTTACCTGCAAGTCTATCAGCTTGCTCATTTCTTTGCATGCCTGTATGCCCTGGCATGAATATAAAACTGATATTTGTCAGCAGACTGCTTCAGAGACTCCAACCACTGTCTTCGGACCCAGCCCATTTTTATCTTCCTGAGCATATTCATTTGAGTCACTGAGAAAGCATGTGTGAATAAATAACTATGTCTCCAGCCATGTTATTGCTTTCAGACTTCTTGTGGTCAAGGCAAAAGCACCAGAATCTTTTTTTCTTCTACAATTCTAAATGCAATCTGAGACATAAAAGTAAAAAAACATGAACAACAGGCTCATCTGTTTAAATGACAGCATTCCTGTCTGGCAAATTCTCAAAAATCGAAACCTGCACTTCTACCTCCATAGCAGCCCAACTTTCTTGTTTGTATTTTCTTTCTAGTTGGATGCAAACAGAAAAGGTTGTACAGCATTCTGTTGGTACTTGTATCCAGGAATAATGTCCTCATGCAGACCTATCTATGATTTTCCTCTTTTGAACCTGTTGCCTTTTTTCTTCCTAATTTCACTACGTAGCCTGTCTGCGCTGACTCTAAGTTAGGCATGTGCAAGTTTGTATCTTGCTTCCTTGGTTGGAAAATCAAGAAGTATAATGTGCATAGCCTTATTGTGAATCCTTTCCATTCTGCTTATGGCTGAGAGCCAGTTAGTTAGTAGTACTAACCTTAAACTACTACCAGTAGTATTGACAGAGATTGGTCTGTGTCTATTCTATTTACATATATATATATAATTATAAATGTCTTTTAAAAAGAAAACTGTGCTACTGTACTCATCTGTACTGTAACTCATAATGAATTTCATTAGTGATGTGTTGTAACTGGTTACTACTTAGTACATACTGTAAAAGCTCTTTTCCTATAGTTCTACAATTATAGTACCATAGTTTAAAAGGTGTCAAAAATGTGTTTTTAAGGTTCGAAAAAAATAAAACTAAAAGTACTTAAACTTTAGTCTCAAGACTAGACTATTTCTTCTTTGTGTTTCATTTAATATGCTCAAGTCAGATCATCAGGTGGCCTGCCTCTGTGAATTTGCATCTCAGCTGTAGGTTCTTCATTGTTCCCTATCGTTGGCTCTGCACACTTTGCTAAAAGGGCCAGGGGCTATCCTTCTCATAACGGGCACTAAAGATGGCGGCTGCAAAATATCCGTTTGAGCCGCAGTCATGTGTCAATTGAACACTTCCGGCTACTTAATTTGCGGTTTTCCGGCGACTATCGCTACCACCACGTGGCCCCCATGCCATGTGAGTGCCGTGGATTGGGGCTAAACTAGATGGCTAGGACTCACGAGCAAAGCTGCAGGAGATGCGGAAGCTGCTGCTCGTGAGTCCTAGCCATCTATTTTAGCCCCAATCCATGTCGCATGAGCAGCGTAGGGGCCATGTAGCAGTAGCGGTTGTTGGCGGAAAACCGCAAATTAAGTAGCCGGAAGTGCACAATTGACACGTGACTGCGGCTCGAGCGGATATTTTGCGGCCGCCATCTTCAGTGCCCGTTATTCGAAGGATAGCCAGGCCAGGGTTCCAGGCACTCTGTACAACAGCGACTCTAGGTGACAAAGTCTATTATTAGTTTACAATGACCCTAAGGCCTAAGGGACACAATCCACTGTTCTGTAATATTTAATACTGCTTTACGTTATGGTTAGAGTTTGGGTCGGCCCTAACTAGCCCTAACCCTAATCTCAAACAATATGGCAGAATATTATTATTATGTGAACTTACAAAAACAATGAATTACGTCCCCTAGGGTCGGCACTTATCACTTACAGTAATGTTAACATACAATAGAATGTGTCCCCTATGGTCGTCACTGCAAGGAGTGCCAGTTTCTCTTTTCTTAGTGAAAGTGAAGGGCAGGCCTGCAGAACTGAGAATGTTCTCAGGTGTTTGTGTGGTCCCCATCTGAGACATCATAGTTAGCAGCATGCACATTCACGTAAATAATATATTTCATTGTGGAGATTGTAATTGTACAGACTTTATTTTATGCATCAAGCCTGCAGAATCCTGTTCTTAGACGTACAACTGTTGCATACTGTTTTCTGTTGAGTCATTATCATGATTAAGTCTGCTGATGGTAGGGTTTGTTTACCAGCCTACTGACTACTACTACTACAGCCGACTGTTGATTTGTTGTTCTCTCCACTCTGCTCAAGTTTCTAGTTTAGGCTAAATTTTAGCCACCGTGATAATGATCATAATGATCTGCCATGAAAATAAACTTACTCAAAGCAGAACAGCCATACCAGTCTGTGAACTGCTGAGATCGACAACAAAATAAACCTGTATACTTACAAAAGCACTATAAAATTAAAACCATCATTGTCTATCCCCCACAGGTGCAGTAAAGTAAATCTACGGACTAGAGGAACTAAAATAAAAGCTGAAGATTTCTGGTTTCCTGCTTCCTGTCCTCCACCAAGTCGTGCAAGCCGTCATTAATTTTCTCGCCGTATTTCTGTTTGGTTGATTTAAGCACTGACATCACCACACTTGATGGAAGCTGTAGAGAGCAGTTCCTGGCATTGTTGACACTTTTGTCAGAACACTGATTGACGAAAACACAGATGAAGGTGATGCTATAGTTTACACAAATAGGTCAGTAATTAGGGGTCAGCAAATCAGCAGACCAAGAAAAATTAAAAGCCTTCGATAGAGTCGACAAGAATATGTTGTGGGAATGTATGGGAAAAAAGGGAATCAGCAATCATCTCATAAATATTTGCAAAAGCCTGTACACAAGTAGTAAATGCTGCATAAGATCGAAGGCAGGGTTGTCAAAAACTTTTATAGTGAACTCTGGTGTGCGTCAGGGCTGTGTACTATCGCCGCTTCTTTTTTATAACATACATGGATACTATATGTTGCGAAACGAACTTAAATCATGAAGATATTACAGAATTACTTTTCGCCGACGACCAGGTACTCATAGCAGAAAATGCGGAATGCCCGCTGAACCACCTAAATCAAATTAGTAACAAAGGGGATGAATATAATATGAAAATAAACACTACGAAGACAGAGACAATGATGATAGGAAGACATAAAGACAATTTAGAAATTAAATTAAAAAACAACACCCTGAAAGACAAACAGAGGAAATTAAGTATTTGGGAGCAATTTTTACATCAGACGGAAAATTGGACAGAGAAATTAGCTTTCAGATGTGCCAAAGCTATTCAAGTAATGGGTCAACTATCTCCCCTGTTGACACACAAGCAGATACCTCAGAGTACTAAAGTGAATCTTATCAGAACTATTTTTTGGCCAACACAATGCTATCAATGTCAAACGTGGACACTTACATCCTCCAATGAAATTAAAATTGTGACAACAGAGATGAAATGCCTTAGAAGAGCTGCAGGAGTTTCAAAGAAAGACATAATACGAAATCATGAAATCAGACGAATGCTAGGAATAAAGCCAGTCTTACAGGTCATCAAAGAACAACAAATGAAGTGGTTTGGACACCTAACAAGAATGCCCTGGTACTATACGTCACAGCGTCACAGCCACACTAAAACGTTACAACGGGTATAGAGCGAGTGGAAGACCTCGGAAATAATGGAGTGATGGCATTAGGAACAGCCCTACAGAAATGAACATGTCTTAATAGTGCTCTTGTCAGAGCTCATCAACGAACATTACATTCCCCCCC